TTGTGTGGTCGAGCGAAGTATGTATGCATTGCTTTGGCTCATCAGTAAGCATAGCAACAACGAAAAATGGTAGGTGACGTAGGCGAAAACGAAGAGAAAGAGGGTAATGTGCGGAGGTGTGACGTTTAGCTGCAGCTTTGTCATGCAGAAAAAGCGAATTTTCATGCACGCACTTTGTATTAAAGATGACAATCAAAACAACCTACTGCTAGGTGTATTGCCGTGAGGGGGTTCACCTTGCGCTGCTCATGCGCTGCGTTAACCCACTGAGGGCTTGAGTGCCTCACCATCGTACTTCTAATTATTCACCAAAATAAATGTCATTTAGACAGATTGCAATTAGCAATTTTTATGCAATTACTGATTGCAATCAAAAATTTATTGCAATCAATTTCTTCTAAATTATTGCAAATTTCAATTTTTGCAATCAAAATATAAGCAATCAATGTTCACTGCAATTAAATCAGATTGCAATATTACTTAAAATATGCGATTGCAATCCAATTTCATTGCAATTTTTTACAGCTCTGCTATTTGATCGCGATTAAAAAACTGAGTTCCTGTACTCTCTATGCGTTGAAAAAGTAGAACTTCTTTTGGTTCATTTCTAGTTTGTGTCATACTGTAAAAAAATTTCAATATTAATCTCGAACCTAGCCCCGCCGACAGCAAATTGATTGAAAATGTTCCTTGTAATATAAAACCTATTTTGAACAGTAAAAAGTTACTCCGACTTAACCAAGCTTGGCAACCCTAAAATGGCTAAAAACAAAACTAGAAAAAATCTATATGGACGACAAAAGCCAAAGCTGTCGATACAGCTTCAACGGAGGCAACATCAGCAAGGGGGTGACCATAACAATAACAAAAGCAACACAAGCAACAAAAACAGTTGAGCATAGCTAACCAAAACGAATGTGTAGATACAACAACGCCAACTTCGTCGCCGTGGCAACAACAGAGCGATATTGCATCTAACTGTCCAGCGGGCGTAGCAGCAGCAGCAACATTGAATTGGTTTGTGCGGGTCAAAATGTAAATAGCAAAAAAAAAAAAAAACCAAACAAAAAATTAAAAAAGGTAAAGAGGCTGGAGCAAAAGATTTGCTAAAAAATGGAAAAAATTCTTGAAAAAGGGGTAGCTGAAAAAAATGTGTAAAAATTGGAGAGTAAAAAATGGCTAGCGAAGTGAGTGTGTAAATTGAAGGCGCTCAGAACGAAAGGATAAATTTGTAAGCGACAAGAAGAAAGCCACAACAACGAGAGAGAGAGAGAGGTGAGGAATAAGCAGGAGATGGCAGAGAAGCAGAGGGGTAAGGAGGCGAGCGCCTATGAATAGTAAAGTGGGAGTTGAAGATGAGGTTGGGGCTAAAGAAGAGTAATGAAAACGAAGGCAAATGATGAAGCGTGTGGTGTTGCAAGTAGATGAGCTGATGCTGATGCTGATGCTGTGATGCTGACTGGGCAGATATAAAGGAAATGATGTGACTAAAAGGATGTAAAGACAACGCATAGCTACATAGATGAGCGAAGAAGTGGCGATTTTCAAAGTTACTAGGCGCACTGGCAGCTATGTGCATAAAAAATTATTATGGCTATGCTGATGCTAATTTTATACTCATTTAAGAACCACAATCATGCATACATACCATAATGATTGTGTGCTGGAAATAATGAAAATTTAAAAAATGAGTCAAAAACCAGAGCAGCGCTGACTCAGCGTATTGCGGATGGAAGGGCAAAAGCGTTGTGGTCACTGTTTAAAAATGTGATGGCTGGTACACAAAAATATGTGTAAATATCTGCAACAATAAGCAAATATAATGAAGCAACAAATTATAAACATCTATCTTATTCAGATTCCATTATAATCAATCGTCATCATCATCATCATCATCATCATCATCATCATCATCAACACCTTCTCCACCCTGCTATCCACTTCAGCAGCGCTATTAGCTGCGCGCCAACAACAACACAAATAATATCTATACAAAAAAGCATCAAAGCACCCTTAATAAAATTCAACAACAACAACATTAACAGCAACAATAGCAACGAGCAACATCATTACCAGCAGCATTATTACCAGCCAAGCAGCTACGCATCATGTGAATGACGTCGACCACCTTCCTCCGCCGCCCGCAGCAAGTAGGGTTACGAAAAAGCACGTGAAATAGTCCGGTTCAATTCACTGCACTCCACTTCACTACACTCCAGCTCCATCCAGCTCAGAGCAAAACAAGCAGTTAGTGAATGCCTAAAAAGCGAGCGACACGCTCTACACACATTCAAATCGTACTTGCACTTACACATCAACGAAAAAATGGTGAAAATGCAAAACACAAAACAACAACATGAAAATGCAAAGAAAATCCCTATTTTTATTGTTGTTTTTGGTTTTCTTTACTATTTTTTATTATTCAAAAGCACACGCGCGCATATTTAAACATACATACATAAATACATATGTACAAAAAAAAAAGGTTGGCATGCCCATTAATATGTACTAGGAATGTTAATCCCGGGACCGCGGCCTTTTTTAAGGTTCCGAAAATCTGGGACTCTTGGCAAATAATCCCGGTATTATCGGGATTTGTAATTTGCGCTGATGGCAGTACTTGACTAGTATTGGCTAAATTTCTTCATTTTTTTATTTAATAATTCATATTTTTTATAAATAGTAAATTTTACACACAAAGATCAATATTTTAGCAAAACCATGGACCAAATATAATAAAATTGCGTTTTTAGTTGTTTACTCTGACTTCAGTAATTCAAAAATTATTTGAAAAATTCAGTGAAAGGTGCTTAGAGAAGAACTATGGCTACCAAATTAAGGAGGAAATTCTGTAGAATTTAACGGATTGAAATTTTTGGTGCATAAGGACTGGTAAGTATTGAAAGTGTCCTTTTAAAATTTTATCCTTGAAATTTCGCAATATTTGTTTTTGAAATAATTATAAGTTAAGGGCTTATATAAACTCGATAATATCCTAGAATTTCGTCCTCCTAAATTTATCAGCTTAAAAAAATATCTACTCGTCCTTGTGCATCCGAAAAATATTATTTTTTTTTAATTCTATAGAAATTTCCTATTTCATTTGGTACCCATATATTAATTTCACATTGCAATCAATCTTTTAAATAATTTGTGGAATTAATCATATCTTTGAAATTACAAAGTCCTTTAAAAAAAAATCCTGACGTCAGAGAGAAAAATAAAAACGCCACTTTAAATAAAAAAATAGGTTTTAAACCCGTTTATTTCTTATTTATTTTATGGTGGGAGGGATAGAAGCAATTTTTTTCGATTTAATTCCCGGGATGCCGGTTGTGTGATAATGACATCCTGAAAATCCCGGGATCGTAAAAACCGAAAAAACTAACATCCCTAATATGTACATATGTATGTGTGTATGTAGGAAGGTTTTTACGTGTGACGGGGTTTGGAGGGCCAGCGGGTCGTGTCTGGCTTTGGCCGTTTTGAAGAGTGTGCAATTGTGGCATCCAACGAAGAGCCATGCCAACGAATAAAGCGACGCGTGCCACTGTGGGCCAAGGGCAGCAAAGGCGTTGGGAAAGTTGGTGATCCTCGTGATCAAAAACTAAACATGTATATTAGGGTGGTCCTTCAAATATCAAAGTCTAAATTTTGTATGGAACAACACTTTCTTTCCGCTAATTTTAAAACTATAAAAACATTTTTAGGGTCACCACAAGCGTTTGGTTTTTTGTTTAAATCCCTAAAATTCGAAGAAATTTCGACTTGAAAACTGATCAATTTTGACATAATATTGCAACTAATTTACATAAATTCATACCAGTGAGTTGTCAGAGTAAAAAGATTGTACAAACACTTGCTAAATCAAGAGGCAACATAGAAATTTATATTAATTATATACTTAAACAGAACCCAGCTTCCATATTGTAGGTAATTTTTGAGTGGTCCCTAAAAAACAAATTTCCAAAGCATTCAGCTGAAACATTAGGGGTATTCTCCAAATCTTGCAAAGCCATTGCACGTAGC